AGTGTGTGTGTGTGTGTGTGTGTGTGTGTGTGTGTGTGTGTGTGCATGCAAATATGTGTGTTGGGGAAGGGGGAGGGAAATTAATGTGCGTGGTGCATGTGGGGGGTTGTTGGGGGTGGGGGGAGGAGAGACAAGTGTGTTTGTATGATATTTGTATGGGAACATATGTTTATGTTATATGGGTAAACTGTTTTGAAATGTGATATTTGTCTGTGTGTGTGCACACCTTTCTGTGTGTCTTTTTTTTTTGGTCTTTGTATATGAGTGGAATTTGACTGATGTTGTTAAACTCTCACATCACAGGGTGGTCAAACATATGCTAACACTGCCGTGGACAGTATCGAGTTCTGGACAGCCTTCAGAGACTACCTGCCGGAGGACGGATACCTGAAGATTGTAACTGCAACCCTACCTACTCGCCCACCCCCCACACGCCCGCCACCCACACGCCCGCCACCCACGAGACGACCCCGAACTCGTAGACCAGGTATCAGCAACAATGGAATAGATCTGGTTGGTGGTGAGTGAGAAGTTGTGTGTGTGTGTGCGACCAGACCCTTTTTGCCCCTCCCCACCTTTTAAATTGAAATCTCCCTTTTCCCACTTTCTTTCTGTCAATTCCCTGCCGTCAGCCTTCTTTCTCCCTCCTCCCACCCCACCCCATCCCCTTTCCTTCGTATCCTCACACCCATTTTTCTTTCATCACACTCCCTCCCCTTTTATTCCCTGTCACCTCCCTTTCAAATCTGAATTTTCCTCTTCTGTGACCTTTACCCCTTATATAAAAGTCTTCCCTCCCATGTTCTTTTCATAACATACCCATGCTTGTTTCTCTTTCAAACTCAACCTTAACCCCATCCATCATACTAACATCACAATAACCCACTGCACTAAATCACACTAAACGTTGATAATAGATACTCCATCCATGCACTTTGAACCTTTTATATCCTCCCAGGCACTGTTTTATTTCAGGCTACATCACTATTTTTATTTCTGCATCATTGTTTCATCTGTTTGTCTTATGCGCTGCCGCGACTTTTTTTTTATCACAGCAATTAATGTACCTTTGCTCTTTTCCAATATCCAATCTTGTCAAGTTCCATTCATGATGTTAACTTAATGTCTTACAGAAGAAATATCTAATGTGAAGATAAATGAGGCTGGCTAGGCTAGTTTTGTTGCTATTGGGAATTGCTCTTCTTTCAAGTGAAATACACATCTTCACGTGCCCTGTTTCTTGACGAATGAAGATTGTGTTCCCATCTGAGAGTTGTTACATTGCTCGGGTACTACTCTTTTTGTTACGAGTAAGTAATATCGAAAGGAATTCATTTATTAGTTATCTGGATTCGCTTATGAGCTGAGTAAGTCAATGTTACATTATAATGTTTTGAAATTAAAGGTTTTCGTTTGTTAGATGAAATCATTGAGCCAAAAATGGCCTAATTGTCTTCTTCTTTGTTTTTGTTTTTAATAAGTCTTTTTTTAAAGATCGGTTGCATGGTGTAATGTCATTTACTGTGAACTTTTGCAGATTTTGACTTTGACTATGACTCGAATAATATTCTGTTGATTGGAGGTGAGTCATCCACTGTTTCAGCATCTGTGTGGATATTCCCTGATTTCTGTTTACAATGCTGAGTGTTTAATTTCTGGTTCCGCCCTTGGTCTTGCATTCTTTCTTTCACCCCAGCCTTTCAATACTGGGGTGTTCAGGATTGTTAAAACTCAAGACACGTTTATTGTCTGTTACCTTGGCAACTTGGATGAGCAGGGGATAATATCTACAAATCTGTTTCGGTCATGCTGTTCTGTTTATTTATTTACACTTTCAATTAGAGATCGAATTAAGCTTTTGATGAGATTCATTCACTAGTTCATGGCCAAAGCATCTCTATTTCAGACGTAGGGAGCAGCATTCTTGAGCTGGACATTGTTCCAGATGAAGTAATTGGTAAGTGAAAGTCGGCATGCTTTGGTCACCGAGTTTGACAGACACAAAAGTGTTGGTCCTTCGGTATTTCTTGTGACCGAGTCACTGCCTAGCATGCTGAAGATGAAGAGATATTCTGTCAACTTTGTGACTCATAGAAATTTAGAGAGCTGATGTCGAGGCATGAAGGCTGATCATTGCACGTTCGCGATGCTTTTGGAAAAGCGTTTCATGTTCATACGTGAAGAGGATGTGTGGAAAAACTTTGGAAAGTCGATGTCTTATGAATGTCTCTCAATGGCTGTGTTGTTGCAGTCAAGTTTGGGCTTGCTTTGAGTGGTTTGCTTTTGTCCTCTTCTTGATCCTTCTGTCATCAGCGCATGGTCTTCAACTTTTAACCCTCTGTGCCAGGCACTGTCTGACTTCAGAAGTCTCCCTTTGTTCTTCAAAGCATGTTATGCCTCCACCACCTTCATACTCCCCTCCCTCTCTCTCTCTCTCTCTCTCTCTCTCTCTCTCTCTCTCTCTCTCTCTCTCTCTCTCTCTCTCTCTCTCTCTCTCTCTCTCTTTCTCTCTCTCTCTCTCTCTCTCTCTCTCTCTCTCTCTCTCTCACACACACACACACACACACACACACACACACACACACACACACACACACACACACACACACACACACACATACACACATTCACACACACACACGCGCGCACACACACAAATGCACACAAAGACTCAAGACACTTCTGAAGTCAACAGTTGCTCCTTCCCGTGATTTCTCAGACCGTTCCCTCCTCTTTCGGCATGTTGGCTTTCCTCCCCCCAACCAGCGGGTGCTTTCTGTCCAGGCAGTCTGCTTGTAAAAGAGATGCCTTAATCTAACCTTCCGTGAACTCATGTTTCCTTTCGGTTTGACCAATCTCCAGAATTTGCTGCAATTTCGACCGGGCTTCTCTTTTTTTCTCTACAACGCGAAGTTCACTGTCTATGTCTTTCTGGGAAGTTACAAGATTTTTTAAGCTGGACCTCGGCAATAACTGGTTATTTCTTTGCTCTTTGAAATGATGGAATCTTTTTCTGGGAGAATGAAGACGTTGTTTCCTTCGGATGCCTTCTTTGCAAGAGCTCAGCATAGCAACTTGCTTCTGAAAATTCTGTCAATTGGTCACCTTGATTTGGCAAATGACGAGAATTTTGAATCTTTTATGAAACAGGCATTTGCTTGGAAGCATGCTTTGTCTTTATTATGCCTTTGATCGGTTGTTGCGCCCCGAATTCTGCAACGAGAACGACGATGTGTATATATTGAATTGTAAAGCGCGGGCGCCTAGCAAAGACTCCAGGAATGTATTGCTCTAAAAGACAACATGCTAATTTCTTTTTTCGAATTGACCAGTGTACCTTTGTTTTATTTTTTGTTTGTTTTAGATGCAACCTCGTTCTTTGTGTTTTTCACCTGGGTTCCGACTTTCTTGTCCGACTCATCAAGTTCAAGCTTTGTGTTGTTGTTCGTGGCTTTTTTCCCCAGCCAGTGATTTTTCTTGCTGTGTACAGTCTGTATTGTAGCGCTTTACTGTCATTATTGTTATTGCCTGTTCCTGTTGTTGGAGATGGAATATGGGGAGTTGATCGTTGTCATATTGTGATTCACTTTCAATTGGTTTTGATTTTCAGCCTTGCTTATTATCCACCCCCCCCCCTCTTTTTTCTATAATAAAAAAATAAGAGTTTTTGGTACTTCTTCTCAGTTTCAAACGTTGCTCGGTTTGCTTCTGTTGTTTTGCCTCAGTCGGTTTCACTTTACTTGGTCGATCAGATATACCATGTATGTAGATGTTTTGTTATCAGGCCTTTAGCCTTTTTTTACTACGAGTATTTTATTTTTTGGGGTTACGGATGTTTTGTTCAGTTGCTCTTCCTGTCTCGGTTCATTTTTATTTTTTAAAAAGAATTTGCTCAAGCCTGAAGACACTATAAGTTTTGGTTGCCGTTCCCGTTCTATCATATCTGAGTTGCACACTGAATGTTTGTGATACTTCAGGTCTTCTGGCTTACAGGTGTGCCATGTGAAGTTCTACCTTCCATCCCTCCAACTTGCTTTTTTCCCCCTTTTATTATTCTTTTTAACCATATTTTAATTCCCGAGTTTTTCTCTTTGTGCTGGACCCCGTCGTCCGCATGTTGGAGGCCGACGTGATTTGCAACGGATTCGCTTTCTCTCTATTTTGTTGCAGTGTTCTTTTTATGATTTATTTCCCGCCTGCTACAGTTTCGAAGTACTGTGGTGGGTTTTTTGTTTGTTTGTTCCTGTTTGCAGAGGTCTGATTTCCCTACTCGTTTCCAAAGTGAATTAGTATTTTATCTGAAGCTCACTTGAATCTGCCCTCGGACTGATATTATTATTTGTAATGCGAGACTCCGTCATATTGTTTGCAGTGACTTTCTTGTTTTATCAAGTCCCTTTCTTCGACGATTGGAATGTCCTATCTTTAATTTGCCTGCGCCTGTCGGAACAAATTCCAAATAAATCTCTCGAGTGATTTAAATTATGTTGATAGGATTGTAAAATGTTTACTATTAATTAATTCATGGAGCCCTGGAATGTGTATGTTCTTACACACGGTTTAAGATATACCCATGTTCATTTATGTCTTTGCCTTGCAGTAATCTGTTACAAATGAAGTGAAATAATACGGGGACGGGCGGGGAGAGGTATCTTTGCTTACGAAGTGGTTTTTGCAGTTCGCTAACAGGGTAAAAACCATCAGATGGACGGAAAGTCTTAAGTACGGTTGCGGAATTGTTTCGAAAATGGATAGGTGTTAGTAGATTCTCTCGGTAATATTTGTAAGGCATAAAAAAAATAGCTAAATTAAATCATCAACGCAAATGAGGGTCAGTATAGTCTCTGTGTGATTAAGCTGATTGTTCTGTTAAAGAAGATTCCCTTCTTCTGGTTCCAATAATAATATGATAACCCTTTTGAAAATTGGAATCATGTCGAGGGTATGTCGGTTAAAGAGTAGAGATAACTTTCATTCTGGGTGGTCCGTAGCCAAAGCGCGTACAGGTTGCAACAATCTTTGTGTCAACACAAGTTGGCGTATTCACCACATCTCCTGGATGATCTGATGCCTCAGATTTCTAGTCACGCCCTTCGGTGGGCTGTATGATGGACATCTGGTAGGTGTGTGTGTATCTGTCATCCACCATCTTAACCATCATCAACGTTTTGTTTTTAAAACCCACGAACGTTTGAATTAATATTTCATAATTTCTTACATCATTTCAAGTGGTTCATTAAACATGCACATATCTCATAACCCGTTAATAGTTATAATGCGTTCATCCGTCTATGATCTGTTCATCAGGCACAAACTAATTAGATCACCAACAGTTCATCCTGTGCGTCATTCATTGTTTAAAAGTTAAACTATAATATTACTGTGACCCCTTTTTCCCTCTTTGTCTTCTTATTTGGTCGCGAGAATGAGAGTGTGAAAGGAAAGAGGCATGATTTGGAGTGCGTGTCTTTGAGGAGTGTGTGTACTATTAGTTTGTTATTTTTTATTTTGCATAACAGTTAATACAAAGTATATTCGTGATTTTTATATACATTATATATTTGATGTTTTAAAAGCTTGGAGCAGGGAATCACTAGGGCTTTGCTTAATGCTGAATTAGTATACAATTAAAGTTTTGTCAACGCAAAGTATTCTGCTTGTAACCATGGCTGCAGTACACACTGTATCGGACAAATTTCATTCTGCCAGTATATCTTCTCAAGACCAATGTAAACTTGGAGCTGAAGCGTTTTATACTTAAAGCTTGCAAGAACTATTTCAACTCTGTTGCAGATTTAATATTATATTTACGAGTAGTTTTGCTTTTGCTTTGGGGGGATAGGATGGATTGAGTTATGCAAAGATTACAAATTTGTTAGCAAATTCTTTGTTGGCCTTTTCAGTTATTGTTTGGGGTCATTTTTTTTATTATGATGAAGTGGCGTTTGACGAAAAAGAAGAAGACTAGACATGTTTGCCATTTTTTAAGCAATTCATTGCTTTAGCACATCTGTATCATCTTTCCATGGTGCGTTTTTCAGGATTAATGTCTTTCTTCCTTTCTGTTCACATTTGTATTTATTCTTGATCAGGACCGAGTCGCAAAAATGCAACCCTCATTGGGGGTAAGCAGAACTTGCATGCTGATAGTTTGGGTTCAGTTCCCCGACCTAACCAGAATGATCCTTGTTTCAGTTTTTTAAAGAGTGTCTTTCCTACCCGTGGCAAAATGGCGACATATGCATTTTGTGGTGTATTAGATTATACACAATATACATATATGCTATTATGATGTATCTTGTCTTGACATGTATTGTGTACAAAATAGTACATGTGCTCCTGATGTCTATCATCTGTTCGTCCTTGAACTATACCATAATTTCCTGAAGTAGGTGTAGTGTAAGAGTTCTATATATACCACTTTTGTGTGCCCTCTTATAGTGGTTCTTGCTTTTTCTGGGAGGTGTATTTATTTGAAATACAGCATTTAACCACATAATTGCAGGAAGAGTAAGTAAGCAGAGAATTGGATCTATTGAAGTGACTGCTTCTGGTAGTTATGATGATTATACCTTCACGTCATCGCCATGTTGCCAGTGTGTGATACCTCCGAGAAATGCTTCCCATTAATACGTGTTCACTTTTAAATTACTTTGATACTTGCAGTGATGTAGATTCCCCGAGGCACTGCATTTTTATAAAGCACATCCTATGACTAGAATATTAGGTTATGTGTGACTTCTACCCTTTTGCAGTTTATATAGATCTAGATCTAGTGCTTGTAGTAGATCTTCACTAGATCTAGAACAAAATTTTGTTTATTTCCTATGACTGGTTTGGGTGTTTTTTTTGCGATGAATGAATAATACCAAGAGATCTGTTCGTTATTAGTCCTCATTATGGCCCCAACTCACGATTTACTGTATCATTCTCCGCACTGTAATTCGGGCGTCTGAG